TTGTTCAATTAATACAGAAAAAAATATATACTCATTGTGACATCCATGTAATCTGTTTGCCTTTGTTGCTCTGTGTGTACAATTGCCATTCAGATGAGTCCCAGAGAGTTAATTCCATATTCTTCAGTTGCCACATTACTTTTCTTTCAAAAGTTCGTCAGATTTCAGCAGTTACAGTTTTTAGAAATGCAACTTTGCAGCAAAGGGAATTTTATTTATGCTTGCAGTCTCCACTACATAACATCCCAGTTTATATCAGAGATAATTATATATCATATTTTTTACTATCAAAATTCTTGAAGATCATGTCAATTTTGAATTACTTTATCTAACTCTCATTTATTCGGAAAGACTTTGAGGTCACAAGCGTATCTCACAGTAAACATTTTGAATTGCACATGTGTTAAATATTCAGGCCTGCAGCTCAGCAAATCTTATAACACTACTTGGTAAAACTTTTCTTATTCTGCTTATTAAAGAATAGCACAGAGTCTCTAATTTGAAGTTTGAAGTTAGTTGAATATAAACATTTCTTATTTCAATTTTAGTCATTAATTACTTCATTTTCCTTAGCCTAGGGAAGGAATATAACATTTCAGTCATAAAGCAAATGTTCATTAATATCACCTATATTTAAATTTTTTAACTTAAACTTTTCATGGCATCATCTGGGTCACATGTCTTAAAGATAAATCATTATCCCTCAAGATTCCATTGTCCTTCATATCCACTCTCTCGCATCAACACATTTGCTTTGATTCCCACTGTCATCCTTCATATGGACCCTCATCCCCAAATGTCTGAGTGCTGACATCAACAGAATCCCATGTGTTCCCTTGGATTCCAGCTTCTTTCCTAACAAATCATATTCCTGCCAAAATAACCTTTTAAAACTATTTTAATCTATGTTCCTCTTCTTGAACCACTCACTGGCTTCCCTTTGCCCAAAGCAAATTTGCCAGAATAATTCTACAGAACACCAGTCCCACAAGGTGCTCCTTAGAAACAAGGTTCTGATAACATAATGGAAAACACAGGACATTTTTTTTTTCTCCATTTAAAACTTCAGAAAGAATGTTAGTATCTCAAAGCCTAGAAATTGTTAACTTCTTGCTCTCACAAAATATTGGCCTCAGAATCTCTCATTTGGATTTCTAATAGGTTTACTAAGATTAATTTATCCAATGAAGAACTCCACTCTCCTTCGTCTCTTAAAAACTGCTCTTCTTCTTACATTCCCACTCACTCAATTGCTCATGAAAAACACTTAAGAGATCATTCTTGATTCATCTCTTGATTCTTCTCCTACTACATGGAAGTGATCAGCAAACTATAATCCCATCTTATGAATGCAGCATAAAACCAACTAATCACTTCTTAGAAAAATACACTGAGAACATCCTAGCCCATATATTAATTATCACACTTTTATACAACATTACCTGACTTCTAAAATACCTCTTTGTATTCACCTTGATTCTCAAAAAGTTTATTATCACCAAAGCAGCTAGAATGACACTTAAAAATACAAAACATATGATGTTAATTCTTGTACAAAATCATCCAATGGACTTGTGCTTCGGCGAGTCATGGAATAACTGGGGCAGACTGAACTCCTCCATGGAAACAAACACAAAAATATTCCAAAAAGGTGAAATATCCATTTTTAGATGTTAGATCTTTTTTGTACAACCAATAGAGTTTAGGTTTTTAAGAGAATATTACAAGCATGCTTTGTGTGTACAGGTACCTACAAGCAAAGGATCCAGTAATACCAAGTAGAGGAGACTAAAGATCAGAGCTTGGATAGATGGATGAGATTTATAGGTATATTTTCAGAACAGTGGGAGATATGCAGAAAAAAAAGTCTCCAGAAATCTGCTTAAGATTGTCATTAAGTCTGTTGCTAAATATTAATTCATATATGCACAGAATGAAATTAAATATGATTGAGCAAACAATAAATGGAAACTTAATAAGGCTTAACAAGTCAAGTTTAAGAATAAGTTCAGGTTACATTCTGACCTATGAAGCAGAGTTACAGAAGGGCCACATTGCATTAGCAGTAGGACTGAACTTTCCTTTGACTGAAGGTTATTCCAAATATGTTCCAAACATCTTTGAAACCAGCCTATGTTGATGAGACTTCTCTGCATACAACAGTATCTGCCAGTAAAAAAATACACTACTATAAAAACAGACAACACAATCCATTAGTCAGTAATAAAAAAATATACAAAGTGTACATAAAATAAAATTACTAGACATTTAAAAAGGTCAGAAAATATGGAAGATGAGATCCATCTATCTGTCAATAGAACCATATCTGGAAGTAAACGAGGTAATGGGGTGGAATGATGTATGATGGAATTTAAAGTAAAGCACAAATAAAAAAAAGAAAATGTATTATGTAAAAACAATCACAGAATTTCTAGGTCTGAAATTAATACTATCTATAAAAAATTTGTTGAATGGGAGTACTAGCAATTAAACATTGCAAAAACAAGTATCACTAAACTTGAACATCTATGATATCAAACCCAGTAAATAAAAATTTTCAAAATAAAGCATAGAAAAAAAGTACTTAACAATAATTCTTGTTTTTTGTAGATTTTTTAAATTGGTGTATATACTATGTATACAACCAGAGATATGAAAAATTATGCTCTATATATGTAAAAAAATGAAAAGAAGTACTTAAAAAGAAAAAGAAGCAGCTAAATTCCATTGACTAATGGGAGTACATTATCAATTGATATCTTAAGTCCCCCAAAACAAATTAAAAGACCAGAAAAAAATATTTGAAGAAATAATGGCTAAAGTGTTCTAAATTTTACAAAAGTAACACACTCTCAGATTTAAGATACTAAGAAAAGCCCAAACATGATGAATAAAAGGAAAATCAAACCAAGACACATGATAAATTAATTGCCAAAGACCAGTGATAAAGAGAAATTCTTAAAGCATCTAGGGATAAAGACACATTACACAGAGGGACAAGAAAGAAAGATCACAAACTTCATGCAAAAAAGTAGAAGAC